TCCATATATCAAGTTTCATAAAAATATTTTCAGTACTTTTCAAATTATCGCGGGATCCAGTTTTGTGGACGGACGGACGGACTGACAGACAGACAGACGGACGGAAGGCAAACCTAAAGCCCCCTGCGGTAAACTGGTAGGGGACTAACAAGCATGACTTTGCCAGCCGAAGGAGACAGCTTAAACTTTTTAAGAGGTGAGGAACCAGCACGTTTCCACTGCTTTGACTGAGCTTTTGTTTCAGGTTCGGAATAATGAACCCACATCTCATCTCCAGTGATAATGCGGTTCAAAAACTTATCTCCTTCACGATTAAAACGACTTAAATGTTCTTTTGCATTGGTTACTCTGGTTTTCTTTTGATCTGCAGACAGCTGTCTAGGCACTCACCTGGCACTTACCTCGGTCATGCCTAGGTGTTCGTGTAAAATCTTGTGTGCCGATGCGCTAAATTTGTTGGCTACCTCCTCCAAAGTTAATCGACGATTTTTGTTGACAAAAGCTTTAACATTTGCTACCATTGTTAGGATCACCGCCTCAGCTGGCCGCCCAGTCCTATGCCTGTCAAAAACACTTCTTCTGCCTTCACGAAGCTGAGAAACCCGGTTGTAGAAGGTTGAACGTGATACTAATTTATCAGAAAATCTTTTTTTGAGCCTCTGAAAAATGTGGCAGGGCTTTTTCTTAACCTTCTGCAACCAGAAACTTTAATACAGAGCGTTGGTCCTCTAACAAAGAGTCCATGATAGACGAAACACCTAACATATAACAGAGGGCAAAATACTGTGTAATCACGACTATCATTGAAAATAAACTGACCACGTTTTTGGCGAATGAATGTAGTTTTCACCAATATATAATGTTTGTATATAAGAGAGGAGCATGAAAAGTCCGGATATTTTCTGCCCGTCCCTCGTACTACGAAAAAAACTTATTACAAAACTGCAAGCCGTATTATTACTCTTTTCTTTTTGGTATTTTTTTAATCTTTTTGGTGTTTGGTTTATATTGGGTAGAATAATGCACGGGGCACGAGATTTTCGTGAGTTTGTTCGCGGTTTTAAATCATTCGAGGTTTACTACACAGTACAGACGGTTCACCAAATTTGTATTGCAATTACTCGATGAGCGAGGAAGAGGTTTCACTTCCCAGAGGGGGAGCGATGAAAATGGAACGCTTTCGACTCCGGTGAGAAACGACATTATAGAACACAGGCTTTGGATAAACAGAGAGGCTTAATCTTAGACGAGTTAGAATTCAGATTTGGGAATTTCAGCGGCAATAAACCGGCTAAAGCAGGTACTTTTGAATTAAAACAGATTCTTGTAAAAGACAATTTAATTTCAATTCTGAATGCCTGAACAATTTGAATAGAATAGAGGCATTGTGTGATTTCAAGTACGTTTCTGCCATCAAAGATATTGCTCATAACGAAGCCTTGGAGATTCTTAAACGAAACAAGCTGTTAAAATTGCCGACTAACATGGCTGGGACACCGTCTGGGAATATGACGCTGACCCGCTTGCTGATAATGACGACTGTTGATGCTACTACATGTAAGCTACGAGGCGCTTTTGCAAGGGCAAATAGGTCACGCAGATATAGTCTATATGGAAGTAGTCAGACTTTTCCATCACCACGTGCTCAACCCCAGCCAAGTTCATTTTTTCAACAACGGTCGCCCTTTCGGTCATTGCTTCTCCTGCAATCTGCTCGGACACTTTGCCAGAGACTGCCCGTACACCCAGAGATATATGGCCAGTAAGCTGCAACCCTCAATCATAACAGAAAAAACCAGACGCCAGTAACGGGAAGTAGATAAAAAAAATTAATCGAGAAGAAGAATGATATAACTTCAGTCAAAGACAGTATCAATATACACGGTAAAAATCTCAAAGTTAATACATTTATAGAAGACGTTATAAGAAACGGATTTAATATTCCGTTTGAGACATTGCCTAGTTCTGTTTATTTAAGAAACAATCTTTCTTCTGTGAAACATCACAAATTCGTTACTTCAGCTATTCTGAACTTTTAGAAAAGCAATGCGTTATTGAAGTTAAAAGTAAACCTTTTTGTGTTAATCTGTTGACTGTTTCAGTAAACTCAAATGGTAAAGAGAGGCTTATTTCAAATTTACGTCATACTAATAAGCACGTGTTAAAAAGGAAAGTCAAGTTTGAAGGTCAGAAAAAAGCTTTAGATTTTTGTCAAAATGGTAATCTAATCTTTAAGATTTAAAATCTGGTTATCATCACGTATAGTATCCATACATAAAGAATATAAAACTTTATTAGGATTTTTTTTTGGGAAGAGAACGGTATTCATAAATATTTTGGTTTTACAGTTCTCCCTTTTGGAATATTTATAAATAGCTCCATGGTCGTTTACTGAAATTTTAAGGTATACTTCAAAGATTTTTGAGATTTTTATTTAAAACTTTTTCTGGAATAGTTACAAAACGATAGGATTTCATTTCGTAATACGCTGCAAGTTTCAAAGTATATATAATGTAATCTATATTTACATAATATGTGCTGGTTAAGATTTTGTCATGAGAGTCAAAATTATTTAGAGCATGTACAGTAATTATATATCAAAACAATTTTAAATTTGATTATCATTTTATTAAAGATAATGTTATTAAACAAACATTTTTCTGTTGGCTTTGTAGATTTTGTTAGAAATGGTAGGGCTATTTTATAATAATATGGTTAAATAGTTAAATGAATAATAATATTAAAAAAACATGTAAATTAGAGGATTATTCCTAATACTAAGTGATTATCATGAAAGAATTTAATTTTATCATAGGAAAAAGTAATCATTATAAAAGTAGTTGTCCTTTTAACGAGTTTTGTTGTTTAATAAAGGTGTTTATTTACAGTTATCCTAGTAATGAGTTCTTATTATTGAAAAGATTTACAGTTATTGTCCAACAACATTGACCTGGCACTCTTGCATTTGACCCTGTAGTCGTTATATTCCGTAAACGTTACGATCTACTTGTAAATCGATATGAATGTATAAATATCTAATTGTTAAAATGATGTTAATTAAAAAATCTCTCTAGTGCAGTTGGTAAAGAGGGTTCACTTGAAGAATGCAGACATAAACTGGTAGGTTCGAACCCAATTTCACCGATTTATTTTTTTATTTTATTTCATTTTAAAATTGCCATTCTCTTTAAACTATTGCACACCTTTTATGTGTGTACTATCTATGTAGTATTTTAATATATGCCTTTATAGCGTGTATGTGCTAAAGCATACATGTATACAATTGCATAATGTTACAAAAAGGACCGTTGAAAGAAAGATACGGTAATGAAATAAAACATATATTTGTATATAAAACACCACTTAAGAGGTATTCTCAAACCAGATGTTCTGAATAAAACGATTTCAAATTAATTCTTGCAAGTATATTATAAAAAAAAGAACGTGGTGTTGGTAAGGAATCGAACCAGAGACCATCAGATTGGTAGTCCGACATCTATACCAATACGCCACACCTCACTGACGAGTGAGGTTAGCAAATATATCGATATATTCGATAATTACAGGTCAGTATTTATTCATATGACCTTTACGAAAGTTAATGAAGTGCCAGGTCAATATCCGGGTAAAGTGTATTTATTATTGAAGGATTTACAGTTATCCTAGTAATGCATATTATTATTGAAAGGATCTACAGTTATCCTAGTAATAAGTATTATTTATAGAAAGGATCTACAGTTATCCTAGTAATGAGTATTATTTATTGAAAGAATCTACAGTTATCCTAGTAATGAGAATTATTATTGAAAGGATCTACAGTTATCCTAGTAATGAGTATTATTATTGAAAGGATCTACAGAATTTTATTTGATTAAATATCTATCTTACATCGTCCCATTTATATAATTCCGACGACTTTACTATATTTACGATGTATTCATTCTTGCTTACAAGCGCATGCGTATATACGAAGTTTAACGCATAGGTATATACTACGATTTTATCAATGAACTGTTATTTTTTGTTTCCTTTAAAGGAATGTAGAGTCTATTATTTCACGAAAATGAACATTTGGAACTTTCAAAGCATTAAAACAACTTTGCAAACAATATTTTAATGATGCGTAGTCGGAATGTAACAATATTGCAGAATGAAGAACTAGTTTCTATAGCGGTTTTTATCCGGATGTGGATGTTGTTCGGTAGAGGCTTCTCACGCCTGTGAAATTTAGCAATGAATGTATACAAAAACAACTCAGCATGTTTAAGACCATTCCAGGCTTTACAATTGGTACACATTAGGCTATCTATATATATTAAAGAGTTTACGTGAGGTATAATAAAGTATGATAATGCACGTTTTATCGTTTCAATGCTTTATAATTATATTCCTGCTCATTTGAACACAAACCGTGAATTATTATACAACAATGTACTGAGAATTGATACATCAATTCTGCTATCCTTTACTTTTGGATATGCCTATCTTAATACGTATTGTATTTCATTTTGCTCTACATGTAGTACTGAATTTATATACTCATAAGTTTAGACGACAAAGATAAATATTCAAGATTACCAATGAATATACTAGTCAATATCAATCAATAATCTTCTAAACTGGAGTTCTCCTTTACTTTTGTATCAGTGTATTTCAACAAGTATTGAATTTCATTTTGAATTGTATATACGCATACTTTCATGTCATTTCAAAAGACGACAAAAATATGAATATACTATAATCAATAATCTTCTAACAACTGAAAGCCTTGGTTGATATGCGCAATTATATATTGTTGACAAGACAGCACTTGAACGTCTAGAGAAATTGCATATTTTACGTCTAAAATCGTAATGATTTAAAAATTGTCTTACGTAAATCTGTAGACTTAAGTTTTATTATATTGGACTTATACACGATTACATGGGAAAGAGGATAGGTCAAAACATTATTCAACAGTAAACAAACGTTCTAAACCACCGATATAAATAGTGCATACAATGGAGGTTTCGGGAAAGAAGGAAAATAAACATCAAGTTCAAATTTCATCTTCGGGGTCATCTCAAAGTTGTAAAGTATGTCAACCTTGTAAAGCTGACGGTGATAGTTTAGAAGCCGATGGTTTCTGTCAGAACTACTGCCAGGAGTATCTTTGTAAAACGTGTATCAAATATCATCGCAAAGTAACTGTCAGTAAACATCATGCTATTTTGGATAAGGGTAATATGCCGAAGAATGTTGAACCACAAACTATCAAACAACTGTGTACTTTGACCTGCGATAAACACAAATTGGAGATAATCAAGTACTTCTGCAGTGATCATGATACAGTTGGATGCGGGAATTGTATGGTAATTGACCACAAGGCATGCAAGGTTGAGTTTATCCCAGATATAGCTGACGAATTCATCAACGGCGAGGAATATAAATCCATTCAGGCTAGAATCGAGAAACTCCAAACAAAGGTTGATTCCAAGAAAATGGCAACAGAGACAGGCCAGAAAGCATGTGCTGAAGAATTCGTTTCAGCAATTCAAGAAATCAAAAGATTCCGAAAGGAGATTGAAGATTATCTAAACAATATGGAACAATTAATACTAAAGGAATGTGAACGTCTCAGGAAAGGAAATGAAAATGCTGTAACTAAAAATGAGTGTTTTCTGAAAACTTTCAAGTCTGATCTAGATGGCATTGCTGAATGTTTAAAGTCACAGTCAAAGAAAACCACTGTCCTGTTTGTTGAAGCAAAGCAAACAGAAACTCGCCTGAGTGATTTAGAGCAAGACATGAAACAAAATGTAAAAACAGCATTTACTGAGTATAAGTTTGTACGAAACACTGACTTGAACGCGATGGTTTCTGGAAGCTGCCCTTTGGGAAAACTTTCTTCAAAGTCATCTTGTTACAACCATTCAAAGGAATGCAGCATTGCTGAATTTGAACCTGTATATGATGGTGAAATCAATGTTCATTCAAATACTGACAAGCAGAATGTCATTATTTCAAACATGCTTCTTTTATCATCAGACGCACTTTTATGCATAGATAGAGGTAACAACTCTATTAAAATGGTAGACCTTAAACAAAAATGTATTTCATCACAGATTCTCTTGAAATCATGGCCGTGGGATATAACGTTCGCTGCCACCGACCAGATTGCAGTTACATTACCTGGTATTGGGAAGATTTGTTTCCTCTCAGTTAAAGACAAGAAACTGACACCAATCAGAGAGATACAAGTCAGCGGAGAATGTAGAGGGATAGCTCACTACCAGAATACATTAGTGGTATCTTTTGTCAGTCCACCCAAGCTTCAAATTTTAACCCTGGACGGAGAGGTTGTACGCAATATTACAGCTGGTACTTTAGGTTGGCCTGGTTGTGTAGAAGTTAACGTGTGTGGGAGTAGTTTCTTTGTATCTGATTTACACAAGTCTTCGTTGATGAAATTTTCGTTTGATGGAAAATTACTTGCCACTTATCAGGACGAAAGTTTTAAGTATCCAAGGTCATTAACCGTTTGTGAGGATGGTTCAGTTCTTGTATGCAGCAGTAGAAATAATACCTTACATCTAGTTTCGCAGGATTGCAGAAAACTTAAAATCTTGTCGATTGAGAAAGATAGGCTCAATTGGTTGCAGTCTGTCTGTTTTAATGATGTAACTTCCACTTTGTATGTTAGTAACCATTCTGGAAACTCCATCCTGGTATACAAGCAGGCGTGACTTTATCAACCATTGTTCTGACTGACATTGTCGCTGATTATGTTACTGTATATACGCTTTACTTAAACAAAGACAATCATAAATACGTAAACCTATATACCACATTATTTTATGTGTCGGATATATAGAATGACATATTAAAGAAATGTACATTTGAATAAGAAATTTCAACCAATCAATTGGAAAGGAATTTATAGAAGCGTCAGAAAAAATGGCCCAGTTCTTGTTGTTAGCAGTGGAAATAATACTGTGCACTTACATAAAAAGTTTGCTGGAAACTCAGATATCTATCATGCATACGTAAAAAGTACAAACCATTAAGTGAAGTCAGTGTAAAATAACATTTTAAAAAAATATATCTATTCGAGATAATAAGAAATATATACGTCATCATATTTTTCTATTTTTGTCTGCAATCTATTTTAAAACAATAATAATTTTGATAAAATAAACACTTAAAACTTCATGCTCCCATTTAAGCTAAAAAATCAAGAAAATCAAAATTGAGAAAACAAATGATTTTAAGAAAAGTCAAATGTTTGAAGATTCAAGTTGTAATTTTTATGTTGTGTGCGATTAATGACTAAATTTGCAGTATTTATCACCATTTTGCTACTGCATGACTAATGCAGTAAGGGCTTTTTTTGCAATTTTTACCTCGTGTTTTCGTAATTTAAGTGGATTGTTAGTGCCGTTTGCAGTGTGTAAATTACTTTGTTTATTTACTTTCCATTATTTTAATTTTAAATACATTTTCAAAATTTTCACGAAAATAAGCAGGAATCTAGATGTTTCTGTTTTGAGAGGAAGTAAAAACAATTATTTCCCCATAGAACTGTAAGACTATACACAGGGTTTAGACTTGCTCATTATTTGTATTCCTTTTATATTGTCTATGATATTTGTATCCGAACAATTCTGGATACTTGGATAATGGTATACAAGCAGCAAGAATCTATTGTTCTGAATTTACTATACATGTACTTTCATTTAGCAAAGTTAAAGCATGGTGAGATATTTATATCATACTTCATCAAATTATCACTAAAAACAAGACTTCTGATCATGATAATACATTTTATATTATATAATGCATTTTTGTGATTTGTCAGACAAACACCGTAACAATTTAAAATGGTGTCCTGTCCGTGTCCCTTGATGTTTTGCTTGTACCACTTCTAACATCTTATTTTCCTTGAATGTGTATTTTGTAATAATTCAACAGTGATCATTACTATGATATATGCCTTTTAAAGATATATTATGCTTACTGTTGATAATTGAAAATACTTAAATTGCTATACTGTCTCTTTTTTCAATGTAACATGAACAACTGTTGAGTATAATTAACAACACAATCACAAACATTCAATAATTATTTATTTCATAATAAAGACGTTTCGGCTAGATGACTTCTTCAGTGCAATTTTCTTTTTCATCTATTGAGTACAAACAAAGAATATAATGTAGTATTTTGGGTAAACACACAATGAATTCATGGTGCCATTGAAAAACTGGCACCTTTATAAAATAAAACAACAACAAGCAATTCAACTTGACCAGTAAAAGGAAATGAAGATTCACAAACATAGTTTTTGCATTGTATTTTTCAAATTAGACATTTTCAGTGAGAATTTCCTAGATTTCAAGGCAGTTTTGCAATAAAATATTTTGCCTAAAGATGAGCATAATAATTATATATTTAAGACAATATATTTGCGTTTAATTATTTCATGTTTACTCACCATCATTTTTGATAATTTGACAATACTTAAATTTGTTACTTAATTACATTCAGGATTTGATATGAAATTTTGGACTCACAAAAATGAAATCGAGGTTAAATGGAGTTTCCTGGCATTTTCTCTCCTTTATCGATCTAAATAATCTCACTATATACACATATACAACATTGTCATATTCAGATATTCTATAAGTATAACACGTATAATGCATTTTCAGCAATGGAGTATTGGTAAGATATCTGTGCAGTAGCTTATCAAATACAGAGACAATCTATACGAGTAGTCGAAATAATTATATAAACAAAAGTAATCATCATCGACGATAATAATTTTGCGAAGTTTGATGGGAAAGGGCTGAAATGTGCTCTTTATCGTGCATGACATTGTCGGCAATGTACTGAAAGGATATCTTTATGTGGTATTTTGCAAAAAATATAAATTATCGTATCAAGAAATAAAAAAAATACACATTAACAATTGCAGATTGAACATCAGTTTAATGTGGTTTAATTAGAAAAAAAAAATATCTTCTCTGTTTGGACTAATTATTGTGAGTACACAGGATATAACAATTAATGTTGTCTTATGACCGCATTGGAGTAATGCACTGGAAAGAATAACGTTGTTGGCGTCCGCGCCGAAGCGCGGCGCCCTTATGGAATGAAATCAGATTTTGTGAAAGGGCGACAGCAACTTCTCGAGCCTTTTATAGTTGTTCATAATAAAAGCCGATCATTCCGATCGGTATGAGGGTGCTTGATTATTAATTAGTCGCGATATGTACAATAAATGGCGAACTGGAGAATTTCGCAATGCAAACATTTTCAAATGAAATAACCTTTTCCGTCAATAAATCGCGCTCTTCGGGGTATTTTTGTTTATCATTTTGTAGTACACAGCGGGTTATTATGGCATGTTATTCCGAAAGCTGTTAATAGAATGATGAGTTGGTGACCTAAATATTCCGAAAATCTATTTATATAGGGATGTACTCCTATCGGTAATTCCCGGTCTCTCCCGGGATTTACTAGTGAACGGCGAATAGTACCACACGTTTATTGTCCGGTCTCTCCCGGTTTTGGAGTAGATGTTTGATATCGTTACAGAACAGAACAAATATTTTACAGATAAATAAGTTTTTTTTCAAAATGAATGTTTGTCACTTAGTTTGGTTACAATAATTAATAAACACAGATCAACTCTCAAATTTATTGATTATTATTATACATAAACATACAATTCGAAAAAAAACCCAACAACACAAATCGCATGTTTTATTGTATCTATATGAGATAAAAACAAAAAATAAGTACAATAATTGAGAAAAAATGTACATTTTATGGCATTAATATGACACTATCAACTTTGAAACATTTCATTTAATTTGTAATTCGTGTTTAGTAAAGATGCCGAGGAATTATTCAAAGTAAAAAATCAGATTTTTTGAATTATTCAATTGATTGATAATTTAAAAAATGATAAAGAAAAAGACCAATGTACATGTATATGGTTTAAGAATAAACAATATTAAATATTGAAAGATTAACCATGATTTACTGACTTTTTCCAGTTAAGTTTTGACTTATAATCGTCGGTCAATATGACAATTGAATTCTTAAAATAGTAGTAAACGTAAAAACTCAGTATTAAAATAGCGCATAAAACACAAACAAAAAAAAGAAAAGAATATTCATAAAATCTGTATTTTTTTTATTAAAATAGGTATTACAATTATTGTATAATAAACAATTATGCTCAACATGACCAACATGGTAATGTAACAAGTGTCATATTGTTACTAAGTGTGAACAGATACCTTAAGAGGGGGTCTTCGCTAATAGCGATAACATAATAAGGGACAATTACACAAGTATGGTGTTGATCATGCGTTACACATATGGATTATAAATGATTGTATACATGTATATCCGTTGCTATTAATAACCACGATCATAAAGAAATAACAAGTAATATTCTAATTTCTAGCATGCCAATCAAAGTTATAAATAATGAACAATGTCTTTCGTCCGTTCATTCATAAGTGATATACAATTCTGGTAAAAAACAATGAACCATTGAAAAGTTTATAAGAATATCTTGTCATCATATATCTACTAGTTCATCTGCACCTGCTGCATTTCTTGCTTGGACGCCCTTTGATGCTTTGCATCAATGCTTTTCTTGTTTTCAATTGAAAGGAGGTATCCGGAAAGACCAGAGATAGAGCTCAAGGTCTTACGTCATCTTCGGGGTCGTCTAAATGTCATGGAGTTTTATGTCAACCTTGTTCAAGCGAAGGGTAGAGTTTAGAAGCCGATGGTTTCTGTCAGAACTGCCAGGAGTATCTTTGTAAAACATGTATCAAATATCATCGCAAAGTTACTGTCAGTAAGCATCTTACTATTCTGGATAAGGGTAATATGCCGATAAATGTTGAACCACACACTGTCAAACAACTATGTACTTTAACCTGTGATAAGCATAAATTAGAGATAATCAAGTACTTCTTCAAAGAACATGACAAATCTGGGTGCGAGAATTGTATGGTGATTGGCCACAAAACGTGCAAGGTTGAGTTTATCCCAGATATAGCTGACGAATTCACAAACGGAGAGGAATATAAAGCTACTCTGGCTAAACTAGAGAAGATCCAAGCAAAGGTTGATTCCAAGATAATGGCAACAGAGAAAAGTAAGAAGCATGTGCTGAAGAATTTGTTTTTGCAGTTCAAGAAATCAAAACGTTTCGAAAGGAGATTGAAGATTATCTAAGCAAGATGGAACAATCAATACTAAAGGAATGTGACCGTCTCACTAAAGAAAATGAAAAAAAGTATTATTGAACATGAGGATTTCCTGAAAACTATCAAGTATGAACTTGATGACATTGCTGAATGTTTAACGTCACACTCAAAGAAAACCGCTGACCTGTTTGTTGAAGCAAAGCAAACAGAAGCTCGACTGAGTCAGTTAGAGCAAGACATGAAACAAAATGTGAATACGGTATTCACTGAGCATATGTTTGTATGTAACAGTAATTTGGACGCGATGTTTTCTGAAAGTTGGGCTCTGGGAAAACTTTCTTCACATACTTCTTGTTACAATCCTTCAATGGAATGCAGCATTGCTGTATTTAAACCAGTATTTTCTAGTGAAATAAATGTTCATGCAAATGCTGACAAAAACAATGCCATTGTTTCAAACATGCTTTCTTTATCATCAGACACATTTTTATGCGTAGATAATAGAAACAAGT